TTTTTTTGTTTAATCATTTAATTGGTTTTGAGTGTATTACAGGCTAAACAGTTGTCTGTCTGTCCATCAGATGTTGACGAATGCAAATCTGGCCGAAACGGATGTCAACAAATTTGCAATAATACACCTGGAAGGTAAAAAATATTATTGATAAATTTGAACAATAAAAAAAAAAAAAACACAAAAATTTTGGTAAGAATAAAAAAGAAGAAGGAAAAAGTTAAGTGTTTCCACTGGGGCTCGAACCCAGGACCTTGTGCGTGTTAGGCACACGTGATAACCAYTACACTACGGAAACCACTTGGAAATGTCTTGTGAAAAATAAGCAATTTATAGGTATGCGTTGTAACTTAAGTCGACAGGGGTCACAGGATTTGCGTTCTAATTCGTATTTTATTCCTGTTTTTGGTCAAAGCTTTCATTGTCAGTGTCTGTCTGGATATACTTTAGATGCCAATGGCAAAACATGTACTGGTAAGTCATACATTTTTTTAATTTTTTTTAATTTTTTTTTTACCTTTCATCGTATTTTACATTATGTACCGTTACTACATCGACTTATATTTCTATTTCGATATTCAATGTATYCCCAACATTTAGTTTTACATATGTAACAAAAGTATTTTTTTTTTTAATTTAGCTATCACTAACACAGGAAGCCCAAACCCAGTAAATAGACCACGAGTTTCCGCATACATTTTCTTTTACAATTTTCGACGAAGTTTAAGGCAAGCCTAAAAATGTTGGATACATGTTATAATGTTTATAACTGTGTTTATATTATGCTGATAGATATCGATGAATGCAGTCAAGGGATGTGTGAGAGAGAATGCATCAATATACAGGGTAGCTACCTTTGTATGTGTCCTGATGGATATGAATTGGCTCCAGACAAACGTCACTGCAGAGGTACGCCGTATTCCATGCATAGCACACCAACATCAGCAATTTTAGAATTATTTTTTCTTTAAATCTAGATTGGGAGAACTGCACGCTTTCTTAGGGGAAGGGACTCTAAATTTTCTTTATTTCATTGTTAATTGTTTGGTTGTTTTGTGCGGGTTTTGTTCTGTCTTGGTTTTTTTTTTTTTTCTTTTTTTTCTCGAGGCAGGGACCCCCCTTTTAGGGAATAAAATAAAAAGCATTGAGTATTGAATTTTACTTTATTGTTTTTTCAACTTTTCTTGGTCTGTCTGTCTGTTTTGTTTTTGTTTGTTTGTTTGGCTTTATTTGACTTTAGAATATTAAATGTTGGCAACATTATAAACGCAAACTTTACGATCCCCCCATTTCAGAGAGTCACTTGTGCTTGGAGAGATATTTCTTGTACGAATCTACCAGCCTGATCAAATCATAGTAATCTAAGTCTCCTCCTTCTCCATGCATTGCCTCCATCAACAGCTCAATTTGTTGATCTTGCAAAACTCCAAGTGTCTGCAGTCCTTTCCTGAATACCTCCTTCTTGATCGATACTCCATCTGTACTTCCAAACGAGCGAAACAAATCTGATACAGTTATGTCTTTTTGTATGATGTACTCCACTAACCTAGCCCAAGGCTTTTCTTTCTTGACAGACAAAAACATTTCCATTTTACTATCCATCTTTTGGTGTCCAGAAAATACCTTCAAAGTTGCGTTGCGAAGCAACAAATCTTTCAATGCATCTTGGAACTCCTTATTTTGGTAAACTTCGTCTAAATGTAGTTCCTTTAATGCGTTTGATTTGTTAGTTTTTATGGATGTTATTAGAGATGTGAGATTTTCGTCTCCTCTWGAGAGTGCTACGGGATTGTTGCCACATTTAAGAACCCGAAGGCAATAGTTTTTCTGTATCCCTTTAGCTATGCACTCCAAACCTYTTCCTGTCAACCTGTTGTTACTAATGTCTAACTCCAACAACGTGCTATTGAACTTTAAGCTCTCCCCTATCGCATTYGCCGACTCATCATCTAGTCCATTACTTGATAAATCTAAAACTTTCAGTACTTTGTCRTTTCTGAGCCCTTTTCCTAAGCTAATACCACCCTCCAGTCTAATTGCGTTCCAACGCAGTTTAAGAATCTCGAGAGACTTATTCACGGCTAACACAGAACCAAATCTTAACCCTGCTTGCTCTGAAAGCTTATTGAAGCTCATGTCCAGTTCTCTCAGAGATGTGTTCCTCTTCAACGCTGTTAGAAACTCTGTCGTGAGTTTATCAATCAAACCGTTAGAACTCAAATTAAGAGAGAGCAATGATTTGTTTATTAGCATAGAATCGCTCAAAGCTTTCATGGTTTTTGCACTRATGTTGTTATCTGAAAGGTTGAGGTCCTTTAAGTGCTTGTTTTCAAGTAGCATGTCAGCTATGAACATACCTCCTCTGTCGCCCAGAAGTGTGTTGGTTAAGTCCAATTTGGTTATATTTCTGTTCCATAACATTTCTAATGCTACAGCCTTAGCTCCTGGAGGACCTAGACCATAATGTCTCAAACTCACTTCTGATTGGTTGATTTGATGAATAAACTTGCTACGGGGAACGGCTTCAACACTGCGGCACATTTTTAAATAWCGCACAGAATTTTCTGTTTTTCGAAGCTTTGCATTCTTTTTAAACTTAACTGTTGCTTYATCTTCGAAATCACATTCATGGTCTTCTAAATCAGTATCGAAATCGTCAGAATTGTARTTTTCTGTGAGCTTGACGGGAATAAGTTTGTTTTCCTTTATAGTATTCATGCACATGTGTTCGTTATCCTTTAYTTTTACGTTATGCTTTGTTTTCTCTTCCTGTTCAGCCATCTTTTTCCTTCTTTGTCCGATTAACGTCCTTTTTTACTATGTRTGAAAAACTCGCAGCCCTTCTTTTGTTTCCTTTCAACGATTCTATTTCTTGTTTTTGAAGTTCTTCTTGCTTTAGAGGTGTATGTTGAGATATCTTGTTCTTGCTCGACTAACTCTAACGAAGAGAACACTCGTATATGTTGCCTTTCGCTCACAGTTGTGAAACGTTAAAGGAGACAGCCATACTCAGCAACGTTTGTTGACTGCTTGTGATAAAGTATGTTTACGGTTAAACGTGTCCTGAACCATGGATTGTTTTATTAACTAATACCAAACGTGTTATTGGCCGTCTTTGTCTGCTTATGAGCTTTTAACCCTTCCTATTATTACTCTGAATTTTTAATTATAACCCATGTACAAATCATAATCTTTCAAATACAAAACAATTTTTTTCCCCTACTGCCCATGAGATCATTAGAGAAAAAATATCCCAAAGTCACATGGACACATCCTATGACACATTAGAGAAACTGGAATAAACACAAAGTTGACTAACCAATATCAGTAGTAATACAATAAGCAATTGTTTTATGAAATTGGATTTTGATAAAAGATTTCAGAATTATTAAACTAAGAATAAAAGAGTCTAATCCCTATTGAATTAGTGGCAAAAGAATGATGTCTTAATGAATAAGGATTAGAAACGTCACTTTAATAATTGAAGATCTGTGAGAAATTTTGAATGCTTTACGAAAGATGTAAAAAGATCTCGATCAACTAATGTGTTTAAGCGTYGCATGTGTGCACAAAATATACAATGCAATACGTATTTATATGTTAACATGTGCGGCTATAAAAAAAATAATTTGTWTTGTAAATTGTATTGATGGCGTGGATAGAAAACAAAATGGAGGGATGGCCGGAGGGATGGATGGATGGGTGGACGGATGGATGGATGAATAAAGAAATGGAGGATTGGTAGATGGGAGGAATGGATTGGGATTTAATGGAGGAATCAGTGGTTTTTTTGTTTTGTTTTAACAGACATTGATGAATGTTCAAGCAATAATGGGGACTGTGACCAGATATGTGTCAATACTAACGGCAGGTAAATCACTGTAAAATGTGGAAAACTGTTCAATGTTCATCATATTTSACACTAATCTCTTATTCATAGCCACCATTGTCGATGCAAAAGTGGATATGAACGGCTAGGGGACCAGAAGACATGTAGAGGTCAGTTTGCTTACATTAAAGTGTATATCAAGGGAAAAAAATTATTTYCAAAATCACTTATATGTGAAAAGTGTAGTAGTATGGTTGCAGTATTTCTGTATGTGGACCTCTCTTTTCAGAGATATAAATATTTGAAGTATCAATATGCAGATGAGATGACGTAAATTCAAGAATGGGTTACATTTTGCAGTGTGATTTACGACAAGTGTTTTGAAGTGAAATAACCCAAAAGTATAAAAAAGCCATATATTTCAGTCATAAGGATAATTTGCAAATGAAAAAACAGCAGTACTTTCCACAACAGCATTTTTGTATAATAAATTAGTCTTGAATTTACGTCATCTCATTTGCATATTGATATTTCAAATGTTTATATCTCCTAAAAAAAATTTTCACCTACAAAAATACTGCAAACATACTACTACACTATTCACATGTAAGTGATTTTGAAAGAAATTTTTTTTTCCTTTATACGCTTTAAATCCACGCATTTTTTTAAAATGTTGTTTACCCGTAGTCGTTTGTGTCGTGTGCACGGGGGAAAACGRAATTTTTTGAAAACGCTGACGTCACGGTATTGGAAACAATCTCAGTCCACGCCATATTTCTGATGAGCGCTGACTCTATGAAGGCTAATGCGTTCCCGAGTCGTATTTTTGCGGATACGTGTGGATAGGTAAAAACGATCTGAAAACAGTACGTATGGACGGGAAAATATTTAAAAACGAATTAAAAAGTTTGCAGTTATGATGTAAAAACGAAAAAGTGAGGACAAGGTCTTATCTTGTAATACCRTTTTGTTGTGTTTTGTATTTGGTTAGACCTGGACGAGTGTAGCATCAACACAGCCTGCTGTAACCAAGGGTGTGTTAACACCGAGGGAGGGTACAACTGCACTTGCTCAAAGGGGTTTACTCTGACCAGTAGATGTACCTGTACTGGTAGGTATTTCACCTTGAGTATTATTACTTTCTCTGTRCTCAGTAAACATTTTCCTTCCAACACACAGAGTCTATTAGCTATTCCGAGCTTGAGGAAAAAACAACTGGTTTGAGTTGGCATTGCAATGCACTATGGGACTGTTTTAGGGACATATTTCCAAGATGGCGTCCATTTCGTCGCATTAAACAGCCCCAAAATGCACTGCAGTGCAACTCGACCCAGTTTTCCTCTCAACCTCGGAATAGCTAATGCTATTGAACATTTTTTGGTGACTTTTCTCTTTAGTTCTATAATACATTTTTATGACGGAACAACGGATCCTTTCTAGTACTTTCTAGTTCAGTATTGGAGGACAATGCGACGAATTCAGTTCTCTTGGAGAATAAACTTATATTGTTTTTTCCTTCAAGATGGACTGCCTTTACTAGTGCTGTAATGAACAATATTCKTTATTATAGATATTGATGAATGCGCGGTAAGAAATGGTAATTGTCAACAGATCTGCACGAACAAGCCTGGTAACTATGGGTACGTATGAGGAATTTTGTACCCAGATTCTTGTTGGGCCTTTTGCTAGCCTGCTGACCAAAAAGACAGAAGACTAGCTTTTTAATGTCATTTTCGTGAAAAGATGTTCTTTTGTTGTACATCCAGTTGTTCCTGTTCTCCCGGTTTCTTAGTTGATTCGCTGGATCCCACACGTTGTCAAGATATCGATGAATGTAAAACGGTAAGAGTAGTAAGTGTAGACTATTTGATTCTACCAAGTTTGACGCGTTTAMTGATACATCCGGATGTTTGGATTGTCGTTTCCAGGGTAACGGTGGTTGCCAACACAACTGCACTAACACCATAGGTACATACCAGTGYACCTGCCACCCAAAGTTTAAACTACAGGCCGATGGCAAGTCGTGTGGACGTAAGTATTGATCATGACTTGCGAGCATAGTTTTAGGATTTTTATGATGGTGATTGAAGATGTGACGACGACGACGACGACGACGACGACGACGACGACGACGACGACGACGACGACGATGACGATGACGATGACGATGACGACGACGAAGATGACGATGACGATGACGATGACGATGACGATGATGAGGGTGGTGATAATGACGACCATGATGATGGTGATTATGGTGGTGGTGACGATGACGAAGATGACGATGATGACAATAAGATTATTTTCTTATATCATTTCTAACTGTTATTTCCAGATTGCCCGACTTGCGATGATTTTGAGTCGTTACTTCAAACCGTGCAAATCTTAAAGAAACAGGTAAACCAGCCTTCTGGGTATTTCATCGTTTTGAAATCACGACTGTTGTGTTATTCTCTTTTAATTTTCCTCTCCCTAAGTTTATTTTGGTCAAAATATCCAATATTCTAACGTTAATTCCTGCCTGACAGGTGGCATCTTTAGAGGCGTGGCGCCAGAGTATTCATCGTGGTTGTATTGATGACAACTTTGACTTTCATCCAGAGGACAGCTCATGGAAAATAACTTCCTGTATTATTTGTTCATGTGAGGTAAAGAAAATGTCACTCGATTGCTTATGCGTAAAATAATGTTCGCATCATCCTGCTCCGCTTCTCATCATTCTTTTTATAGCGAGTGAACTAATCCAGTATTAATCCTGCTTTCCAATTTTACCCTTTTTCACTCACAAACAATTCCACTCCGTTRATATTCTATGCGTACACTTTTCAATTCACAATGTTGGTTTTTGCGACGGRAGGAAAACTGGAGAAACCTGAGACTTGAAACCCTCGTAACAAGGAGAAGACAGCACATTCAACAAACCCTATTCGATGGTTGCAGCTATATGTTAGATTCTCAGTCTAAAGTTGAAAGAAACTTTTTTAAAGTATCGTCTTCAAGCATATAACATGGTTTTATATCTTATTTGTTTGTACAATTTAGAAAGGCAAGATTATGTGTGAGCCCATAATGGGATGTAAAGCTTCCGACGAAATAACCATCAGTACTGGTAAGGCTGACCACATTGACATTAACTTACCAATGGTTGATTAAGCTGAATATCGGTCGTTGGTAGAGGCAGTGTCTCAAATCCAGCAGCTCTTGGCAAACGTTTAAATTCCAATTGGAGATCAGTGGAAGAAAAGCAAGTCTGTGGAATCCACTGATTTATCCCAGTGCTATTATATCATCATCATCATCATCATTATTATTATATTTATTATTATTTTAAAATATTAACATTTTCTGCACAGAAAAACCCCAGGATGTTCACTCACAACCCGTTACTCCTACTAAAGTGACAACTGATGATGATGATGAGCCCGGCTCTGCGAGTAAGTAAAACGAGGTACCTGCTAGCGCGTATTGATTTGATTCATCAATAAAATCAAACGTTTTTCAGTAAAGCTGCAAAAAAGAGAAATTGTTTCAAAATTATTCCGCTCTTTATATTTCAACTCTTTTATTCTTCATCTTCCTATGCTCCGGGGACATTGATGGACTGTATAACGGCTGCCAAAGGCGCCTTCACATGCTTTTAGTTCGACCCCGTTGAGCTGCGACACTGCTGTACTTGCGGTGGTGATAAGTGATGAGAAGATTTTATTTTCTTCTTTTCCCTTTCCTATTCTGCTACTTCTTCTTTTTTCTCTTCTTGTCCAGATTGTCCAGATACACCTTCTAAATTGTGGTCAAAATACCCATACTTATCGATCATTCACACTGCCTTGCCTCTAAACTCAGAGCATCTTATTTACTACCATTCTTTTCTTCTTTTCCATCTTCTTTACTCCTTTTTAAGAGGGTGTGTATGGGATTTAACAGTAAACTGATGACAATTGGTCTAAAACTTAGTAGTTAAAAGACAAATAACCTAAATTTAGTAGTTAACATTTAACTGATATTTCATTATTTTGGTTAATATTATGGCTAGCGCTCGTAAAAATATTACAGTCAACTGACAATTGGCTTTAAAATCCGTAGTTAGCTGACAATTGGCTACCCCCATCCACGCACCTTTTAATCCTCTTTTCATCTATTTCTTTTTCTCACAGGCACTGGTACTAGAGCTAATGAAGAGGACCCGTTGTTCACCATCAACAGGAGACGGCAGTGATTATTGTAGGTCTGGAGGTCTACACAACCTAGCGTCAAAAAGGGTAGTAATAATAGTTGCACATTGTTGATATAGTTTAATAAGGGAGCTATGATAAAGAGAATTAAGGCAAAATGAAAACAATTATAAATGCATGAATAATATGGACGAAAAGCARCAATATTAATCTGTCCTTTGATTTAATCTACGTCCAAAAATTGTACTTGTTGTAGTTTTTTTAGCGGCAAAAGGAAAAAAAACTAATCTAAATTAACACCAAAAGATTACTTAGTACTCGACAAACGAGTACTCAGTAATAAAGTGTAATGCTTAAGCATTTTATTCGAAAATTCTTGGCGTTTTTAAAACCTCGCATGCATTTCGCTTAAGGGACGTAAGGCTAATGARGTGTTTGCGGGCCGGAATGGAACGAAATCATCATCAGAGCTCTTTTTTCACTTAAATTTTCAAAGATTTAAACAGTGAAAAATTGAAGCGAAGCCAGAGGAAAATCGTCCTTAATGAACTTAGATTAGTCAGTTCTTCTTTTAAAACAACGGCGTTCATTKTCTTTTGTGTTTTATCTGAGCGTCCACAAGAAATTGCATTATCTCATAATGGTAAACATTTTTGTTCAATTATTGATTGCTGTCTTTTGGTGTCCGTGTTGTGGTGGGTGATCAGTGTTTAACGCGATGAAAAGCTTGTTTGGTATTGTACAGTTTTCAAATAAGCGGTTGCTGCATTGTCTTGCATCTGGCTGTTGACTYAAACAAATTTTTTTGAGTGTCTTAACTAGAAGAACAAATATAACAATAATAGACGACTTGCACTAAGAGGTCACGTGATCAAATCCGCCATTGTGGCTGGCATTCTACAGGATTTTAGTTATGCGAGGATGTAAAAAAAAAATGGCGGATTCGGGTAGATTTTTGGGTGACAAAAGGTAAGTTAGCTCACTAAATAACTATAAAAATCCCCTTTTCTTGCAAGAAATATATTCTTAGTAGATATCTAAAGTAGATTTTTGCTATTAACTCGCCAAAAAGAGAAAAAATATGGTATTTTTTGCGCTACAATGTGAAGACCTACGAAGTTTTTAGTCTTGTTTTGCCGGCTTCATGACCTCAAAACAACGACTTCTTGTCGAAACTTTTCAAGTATATTTCAACTTCATTCTTGAAAACTACATTTTTCTTGCAAGAAATATACTTTTAATAGATATTTTAAGTAGAATTTTGCTATTCATTCGCCAGGAAGAGGAAAAATATTGTATGTTTTGAGGTCATGAAGCCAGCAAGACGATACTAAACACGTTCGTCTTCACATTGTAGCGCCAAAAATACCATATTTTTTCTCTTTTTGGCGAGTTAATAGCAAAAATCTACTTTAGATATCTACTAAGAATATATTTCTTGCAAGAAAAGGGGATTTTTATAGTTATTTAGTGAGCTAACTTACCTTTTGTCACCCAAAAAACTACCCGAATCCGCCATCTTTTTTTACATTCTCGCATAGCTAAAATCCTGTAAAATGCCAGCCACAATGGCGGATTTGATCACGTGACCTCTTAGTGCAAGTCGTCTATTAAACGACATTTAGACATTTAATAAAACTTTTATAACTAAATATATGTCATGTTAAAATTTTTAAACATTAAATTTTCATTTTTTGGGACGCAGAAAGTCTTTTTTCAAGTTCYTTGTTTGTTTTGTTTCGTTTGTTTTGTTTTTATTTTCATTTGCAGAAGGTATTCTTCGTTCCTATGGAAGCGCCTGTAATACACACACAAAAACATGCGATATTCAACTTTTCTCTTAGGACCGGAAAAGTTCAATACTTTGAGCAACTTTTTCTTTCGTTAGTAGACTCGGGAAATGTTTTTTTCTTTGTTAGTACAAAAAAAGATAATACAATACAATACAATACAATTTTATTTGCTCATACAAGAAAATTTACATGAAATGATGAAAATGATGAAATGATAATGATTAAAGTCCGCCTGGTCTTTCTAATTTTCATTTTACAAATCAATTAATCCATAAATTATAACATAAAAGAATTCGGACGCGCTCATATTTTAAGTTTTGTCAATTCTGTACTAAAAAATAAAGATAAGAATGTGATTGTTTTTTTTTAAAAAAAAACGTGTTGACCAGTACAGATACAGACAGTGACTTTTAGTTCAGACAACAGCACCATGCAAACACAAACCAAGGTGAGAACAATCATTTATTAGTATTAAGCCAGCAAATTAGCTGACGAATGTTTTGACAATGGTTGCCATGCCCGTGTTGACGAACGTTTTTAACCTCGCATTCAGCATCTGAGGTGATTCTTACARACGCGATTCATTATCCAACAGGCCAATATTTGTCTTTGTCTAACTGCTTTTAGTCTAAAATACCTTGAACATCGCATTATGCTCTTTTTTGTGTGTGCTTTTTAAGTGAGTGGTAAATGTAATGCTGTTTCCTGGTTCGTAACCAGCTTTAGTTATTTGACTACAAAACTGTTAAAGTACTCATCTGCGTCGGTTCTGTCTTCTTCATTGCCTTCAAAATAGTTTTTAGTTCATAAACACAGAAAAGCTCCATTTGACATCCTTTTTTTGTGAGAAATATATATTTCTTTTTGATTGGGAAAAAACATGTGAAGATGTACCTTTGTATAGTRATGTTTTTGTTCAATTGACCAAGTCTCAAGAGAAAGAACTCGGGCTAATTACTAGCTTACACACGCTTGACGAGATTTTTACTTCTAAAGGTTGTGAATAAAAGAGTGCATGGATTAAACCTTTGTGTAGATAAATCCCTATCTTGAACAAAGAAAAAGTCGTCCTTAAAAAGGATGAGCAAAGTTTYTTATTTAAGGCACTCACTTGTCTCATTCACACAGTCAACTCTGCAGAGATTATTTAGAGTAGTGTTGCCTCGATGGAGCACAAACAAGTTCATATCAAGCGTCCTCTTAACTCCTTCATGGTATGGGCCAAAGAAAGACGTAGGTCCATGAATAAGTCCAATCCAAGAATGCGTAATGCAGATATCAGCAAGATCCTGGGAGAGGAATGGCGGAAGATGTCATCCAGTGATAAACAACCGTACGTCCAACAAGCTTTGTACTTGAGACGACAACACAAGATTGAGTATCCACACTATCGATACAGACCTCGAAGAAAACATCCTGATCCAAGAGAAGAAAGACCACTCTTTGAGAGAGCCATAACCAATRCAAAACTGTTCTCGACATCTTTTCCATCCTTGTCTACCAACAAGTCGATTCTTGGCATCCGCGCGCCATACAGCCACAGCTCTATTTTTCCCTCTCAAAGTTCAACTCCATCACTGGACATTACTTCAGGACTTGCTCCTTCACCCAAGTTCATGTCTCCTTTCTATCCATCCCATTTTCTGTCTCCTACCACAGCAGCCCTGAAGGACTACGCCTTTCCTTCACATTGCCTGAGTGATTCTTCTAAAGGAGCCTTCGCAGATTTGCCTTCAAGTCTATCGACTTCATTCACCAACCAGTCCATAACAGCGCCTACCGGAATGTTTTCTCCTGTCACTTCCAACCTGCCGTACCTCATGCTACAGAATAAAGGCGCTCAATATTCATGCTGAATGCGCGGGAAGATTCCTCATTAGATTCACCGTCACCGTCCACTTTTATGTACAAAAACAAAAACTTAGTTGAAACTTAACATTTCTCGCAATAGTAAAAGAAAAACACGCAAGTTTTAGATTTAGTTTTATTTGTAACAAACACTTCTGTGTAAAAGGGACAGTTTTAATCTACGAATTAAAGAGACTGAGATGAAATCCTTATTTCTGGTACCAGCTATTCATTTTGAATAGTGTTAGTAATGGTTGACTACCTTCGAGATAACTAAACCAGATTACGACCAAAGTAAATTATCTCTGTGTTATTTGTTGTAAGAATATCAATTATTTGAATAATAAAATGTTTGCTTATATATTGTCTGTGGTTTTTATTCAAAGTATGAATGTTTAAAAACATATCTACAACAAATTGAATTTTTACTATTTTTTACTAACTGGTACATGGTTTGAATGTTCTTTTTTTTTTTTTTCGCGTCTGGAATCTGAGAATACGACCATGTATTCTTTTAAAGCCAATTTTCATTTTCATTCATCAATGTGATGAAGTTTTGTGTGTCTGTGTTACAGTTAGCCGTCCCATTAAAGTAATGCTTTTGTACCAGTGGAAATGAAATAAGAACTGTCAAAAAGAGGCTTAAAATCAGTTTTATATGTGACTTGTACTGACAAACATTCAAAAACATACCCCAAAATACACGATAAACAAAACTAAAAAACCAAAGTGAAGGTAGTTRATAATTGGACAGAAGTGAAGTTAATGACGAATGAACTGACCAACTTTGTCACGCCTTCTAAAAAATGAAACATCTGCGGAAGGCAAAACTAGCATCAACTGAATGAATTGTTATCTAAAAAAAAAAAAAAAGAAAACTTCGATGTGTCTCACAATACGGTCTTGAGAATGAAAGTAATTTTCTTCGAGAATCGATTTTTAGTCCTACATTGTAATGATGTTTCTTTGTACATCCCTGTACACGTGTGAATTGTTTTCAACATTTACAAAACTAAATTCAGTACATTATTGTTTGCTATTCTATAGAAATTCATCAATTTGTTTACTGTTTGCTCACGTAATGTAAGTTAGAACTCACTTGAAARACATTTATACTATATTATCGACAAAGTTCCTTAGTCAAGATAGATTGACTTTTTTCACCTCAGATTGGCAACTTTATTCAAGTTCGTGTTATTTTGTTGGTTATCGTGCGATCCTCTCATGTACAGACGTTCAACSTTCAACTCGTACAAAGGGGTATTATTAGTTTGAATGAATACCGACTGAGATATAACGAATCTCGGGTCTTTTAATAAACACGTACAGTTCTATCTCTCTAAGTATTTTGTGACCAAAATCTAAAAAAAGACGTATACCAATTTGAACCACTTGTTGAATATTTCACAGATCAAAAGCTTCAATTTGCTTCAACACTATCTTTCAAACGAGAAAAARTAGCGCTTTTTTAATTGTTTGGCACTTTGAACAACGTTTTCAAAAGATTGCGTTTTTCATTGAAATTATATTACAATTACCTGTGAACTACACATGAAGTTGCGAAATATTAGTTCCTATAAAGACACACTTGCTTCGATTAGGCGCATGGAAAAAAATAACCTTTCATAACCAAATATCAGCTTCGATATCTCGGTAAAAAAAACAACAGCCATTTATGTGGCTTTGTCTTACTCCATAAAAATAAAAAGACCGAGAGATCTAGGATAATCAAACTAAATAGAGTCATTCCTTGTCGAGAATTGCATGTAATTCGGCTCAGTTCTTTTCGAGCTAATCAAGTAAAAAGATRTAGTTAGAGCCTCTAAGACTATTGCGACCCATTCCAATTATATAACATTTCTAAAGTTAAAAAGAAAAGAGAAAGCTCATTGACAAACAGCTTGACACTCATTAGGCTCTTTTAATATTCTGTGAACTAGAACTCCTGGAAGCACTTGAGAGGTCTAAAATCAGTCGTAATTGGGACAATTGGACTCAATTCAAACCAATAAAAGGCTTTTCATATCTGAGGTGAACCCTTGAAGATTTGATCTTTATCGAAAAGTGCACAGAATTTGAAGTTTTTAAGAATAAATTGGATGGAATAGGGCAGTAAAAGAGAAGGTTCTTTTTTTATTGGGTAATGTAGACGATTCTATATGTAGTATTCTTTGTATTCGAATTTCATTTTGACTTTTCTCTATAGTAAAGTGAACTGTCTTTCTTGAGTTTTTGTTGTTGTTGTTCCCAAATTTGTTATAACTTGTTACATGAGGAAACGTGATGTTATTATCAATTTTGTCATGCATGGCTCGTCTCTATACCAGTGTTTTTGCTTGATTAGTTTGGCGCTAATCAATAAATGCCCTAATTCTTATTAACACGTGTTATTATCAGACCAAACGAGATTACGAATCTATTAGACCTTTTTTTATGTATAAGACATATGTCTCATGTCTGGTTTTGACCCACTTTGTGAAGTTTGTGATAGAATTTAATGAGCTCAGGAAACAAAAGCCATTGTTTAGCGAGTAAATTAAATAATGGTATATCAACGTCTTTATCTCTTATCGCCTACCCGAGTGAGACAAAGGATATATTATATAG